GTGTGGTGTGTGTGTGTGAGTGTGAGTGTGTGTGTGTGTGTGTGTGTGTGAGTGTGAGTGTGTGTGTGTGTGTGTGTGTGTGTGTGTGTGTGTGTGAGTGTGTGTGTGTGTGTGTGTGTGTGTGTGTGTGTGTGTGTGTGTGTGTGTGTGTGTGTGTGTGTGTGTGTGTGTGTGTGTGTGAGTGTGTGTGTACTCACCTAGTTGTACTCACCTAGTTGTGTTTGCGGGGGTTGAGCTCTGGCTTTGGTCCCGCCTCTCAACCGTCAATCAACAGGTGTACAGATTCCTGAGCCTATCGGGCTCTGTCATATCTACATTTGAAACTGTGTATGGAGTCAGCCTCCGCCACATCACCCCCTAATGCATTCCATTTGTCAACCACTCTGACACTAAAAAAGTTCTTTCTAATATCTCTGTGGCTCATTTGGGCACTCAGTTTCCACCTGTGTCCCCTTGTGCGTGTTCCCCTTGTGTTAAATAGACTGTCTTTATCTACCCTATCAATTCCCTTCAGAATGTGTGTGTGTGTGTGTGTGTGTGTGTGTGTGTGTGTGTGTGTGTGTGTGTGTGTGTGTGTGTGTGTGTGTGGTGTGTGTGTACTCACCTAATTGTACTCACCTAATTGTGCTTGCAGGGGTTGAGCTCTGGCTCTTTGGTCCCGCCTCTCAACTGTCAATCAACAGGTGTACAGATTCCTGAGCCTACTGGGCTCTATCATACCTACATTTGAAACTGTGTATGGAGTCAGCCTCCACCACATCTCTTTCTAGTACATTCCATTTACTAACTACTCTGACACTGAAAAAGTTCTTTCTAATGTCTCTGTAACTGCGTGTGTGTGTGTGTGTGTGTACTCACCTATTCACCTATTTGTGCTGGCAGGATCGAGCATTGACTCTTGGATCCCGCCTTTCCAGCTATCGGTTGTTTACAGCAATGACTCCTGTCCCATTTCCCTATCATACCTAGTTTTAAAAGTATGAATAGTATTTGCTTCCACAACCTGTTCCCCAAGTGCATTCCATTTTTCCACTACTCTTACGCTAAAAGAAAACTTCCTAACATCTCTGTGACTCATCTGAGTTTCCAGTTTCCACCCATGTCCCCTCGTTCTGTTATTATTACGTGTGAACATTTCATCTATTTCCACTTTGTCAATTCCCCTGAGTATTTTATATGTCCCTATCATATCTCCTCTCTCCCTTCTTTTCTCTAGTGTCGTAAGGTTCAGTTCCTTCAGCCGCTCTTCATATCCCATCCCTCGTAACTCTGGGACAAGCCTCGTCGCAAACCTCTGAACCTTCTCCAGTTTCTTTATGTGTTTCTTCAGGTGGGGGCTCCATGATGGCGCGGCATACTCTAAGACGGGTCTCACGTAGGCAGTGTTAAGCGCCCTAAAAGCCTCCTCATTTAGGTATCTGAATGAAGTTCTAATTTTCGCCAGTGTAGAGTACGCTGCTGTCGTTATCCTATTTATATGTGCCTCAGGAGTTAGATTAAGTGTCACATCCACTCCCAGGTCTCTTTCTCGAATCGTTACAGGTAGGCTGTTCCCCTTCATTGTGTACTGTCCCTTTGGTCTCCTGTCACCTGATCCCATTTCCATAACTTTACATTTACTGGTGTTAAACTCCAGTAGCCATTTCCCTGACCATCTCTGCAGCCTGTTTAAGTCCTCTTGGAGGATCCTACAATCCTCGTCTGTCACAACTCTTCTCATTAATTTTGCGTCATCCGCAAACATTGACATGTATGATTCCACTCCTGTAAACATATCATTTACGTAAATTAGAAAGAGGATTGGTCCCAGCACCGATCCTTGAGGTACTCCACTTGTTACTGTTCGCCAGTCCGACTTCTCGCCCCTTACCATTACCCTCTGGCTCCTTCCTGTTAGGTAGTTCTTCACCCATACTAGGGCCTTTCCGCTTACTCCTGCCTGCCTCTCAAGTTTGTATAGCAGTCTCATGTGCGGTACCGTATCAAAGGCCTTTTGGCAGTCAAGAAATATGCAGTCTGCCCAGCCTTCTCTGTCCTGCCTTATCCTTGTTACTTTATCATAGAATTCTAAAAGGTTTGTTAGGCATGATTTCCCTGTCCAGAACCCATGTTGGTGCTTGTTTACAAACCCAATGCTCTCCAGGTGCTCAACAAGTCTTAGCCTAATTATTCTTTCAAGTATTTTGCAGGGGATGCTTGTCAGTGATACGGGTCTGTAGTTAAGTGCCTCCTCTCTATCACCTTTTTTGAAAATCGGTACCACATTTGCCTCCTTCCAGCAACTGGGCAATTCTCCCGACATAAGTGACTCATTAAAGATCATTGCCAGAGGCACGCTGAGAGCCTGCGCTGCCTCTTTAAGTATCCACGGTGATACTTTGTCTGGTCCAACAGCTTTATTTGCATCCAGTGTTGTCAACTGTTTCATTACATCCTCTGCTGTCACCTCTATATCTGATAGTCTTTCATCTTGGGTAATCTCTTCTAACAATGGGAGCTGCTCAGGCTCGGTTGTGAACACTCCATGGAATTTTGCATTCAGTACCTCGCAGATTTCCTTGTCGCTTTCTGTATATGCCCCTTCTGTTTTCCTCAGTCTTGTCACTTGGTCATTTACCGACATCTTCCTTCTTATATGGCTATGTAGTAATTTTGGTTGCTTTTTCGCTTTGACTGCAATATCATTCTCATAATTTCTTTCCGACACTCGTCTTATGTTAATGTAATCATTCCTAGCTCTGTTACATCTAATCCTGTTGTCCTCTGTCCTTTGTCTTCTGTACTTCCTCCACTCCCTCCTGCTTCTCACCTTTGCTTCCTGACACTGTCTATTAAACCATGGGTTATTATATTCCCTCCTGCTTTTTTCCTTTATTGTTGGAATAAATCTCTCTTCAGCCTCCTTGCATTTCAATATGACTTGGTTCATCATACCTTGCACTGTTTTTCCTCTAAGTTCTTCCTCCCACTGCACTTCTCCCAGGTAGTCCCTTATCCTTCTGTAGTCCCCTTTTCTGTAATCAAGTCTCCTTTCCCGGACCTCTTGTCCTTTGGTCACAATTTTAAGCTCCATCATGTAGTCAAAGACTAGGACACAATGGTCACTAGCTCCTAGTGGTATTTCATGTTCCAACTGCTCGATGTCTTCTACATTCTGGGTGAAAATGAGATCCAATAGGCTGGGCGTATCCCCTCCTCTTTCCCTAGTATCTTCTTTCACATGCTGTGTTAGGAAATTCCTGTCAATAACGTCTACCAGCTTCGCTCCCCAGGTCTCCTCCCCGCCATGGGGATTCCTCGTTTCCCAATCTATCTCTCCGTGATTTAGGTCCCCCATGACCAGCAGCTTCGCTTTCATTCTATGCGCTAAAGTTGCTGCCCTCTGCAGTTCATCTATACATGTCTTGTTGCTGTCCTCGTACTCCTGCCTGGGCCTTCTACTGTTTGGTGGGGGATTGTAGAGTATCAAGATTACAATCTTCTTCCCTTCCACTGTCAGAGTTCCATGTGTGTGTGTGTGTGTGTGTGTGTGAGTGTGTGTGTGTGTGTGTGTGTGTAAACAATTGACTAGGACCTAGATAAACCAAGTATTTGCTCATTGTTTATAGTAAACATTTCTGCCCCATTCAGGAGCTTTATGTATATTGTACATAGCTCTATTCAGTGTGTGGAGAGCTACGTCTAATGGAAATAAAAACATTTTTTATGCTTGTAGGGCGTTAATTTTATGTCCAATTCATTACATATTGGACTGAAAATTTGTAACTTTCAATTACTAAAACCTTCTTAGGAAAATAAATTAAAAATACATTGCAAATTCTTTATTTCAAAACAGAATGAAAGTTCAGAAGCAGGATCATTTTAAAGTTTTGTCCCTCATGCCATAGGAATATACAGTTCTTCAGTAGTGGTTCTACAGTAACTACACAATTGGGTAGGAAGCCAAAGTGGCAATACCACAGTTGTTGTTCTTGTTACGAGCCATCTTTATGTACCCAGCCTCACCCCACCCGGGGCCCCAAGAGTTCTTAACGATCCAGTAGTCTCCTGCGGGGCTAGTGCCATAACCCACTACCAGTACACCGTGGTTAAGGCTGGTCGACGAGCACGCCGGCTCATAGTACACACCTGAAATACAAGACACACACATTAATATCGCAAGCCCATATTGTACACATTTGTATTCCAAGGTTACCGTTTGGTGCAAATTCTCCAATAATTGTTTTAATATATAATAAATCAATTAGAAATTTAGACAATGTTTTCTTAGGTGTATCAAACAGAGATTAGGAAGACGACTCAACCAGAATTGAAAAGTGAAACACATCTGAGTAGTGACAAAAATGATTTTTTTTTTAAATAAGTTATTTCTGCTTACTTTGGAAGAACTTGACAATGTGCCGGCAGCTTAACATATTTATATTGGTTTTAGAGTTTACACGTTGACTAGTATAATGTTTACCAGCAAGGGTATCATCAAATAAATAGAAAAAGTTATGCTCGCAAAGTCCCCAGGGCCAAGGGAGGTAGTGGCCTGACGGCTGAGTGGACAGCGTTTGGGATTCGTAGTCCTACGTTTCCGGGTTCGATCTCCGGCAGAGGCGGAAACAAATGAGCAGAGTTTCTTTCACCCTGATGCATCTGTTCACCTAGCAGTAAATAGATACCAGGGAGTTAGACAGCTGCTATGGTCTGCTTCCTGGGGATGTTTAACAAAATGGAGGCCTGGTCGAGGACCGGGCCGCGGGGATGGTAAGCCCCGAAATCCTCTCAAGATAACCTCAAGATAGTGATCAATCGAATATTTGCTTGGGTACTAAAATAGTAAATACAGGCATTTACAGAGCCCTTGTCTATCTTATCTTGAGATGATTTCGGGGCTTAGTGTCCCCGCTATCCGGTCCTTGGCCAGGCTTCCACCCCCAGGAAGCAGCCTGTGACAGCTGACTAGCTTCCAGGTACTTATTTACTGCTAGGTGACAGGGTGAAAGAAAATCTGCCCTTGTTTCTCACTGGCGCCCGGGATCGAACCCGGGACCATAGGATCACGTGTCCAGTGTTCTGTTCGCTCAGCCACCGGCTCCCTAGCATCCCTTGTCGAGCATATTTCATATATCATTAGAATTGAGCAGACTATATTGAATAGCAAATATGATGCCAAATGTTAAGATGGGAGACAAATCCCTTGTGTTGAACTCTGGTCTAATTAGCTTAACATCTTGTGTAGGAAAATGACTTTAATCGATAAGTGCAAAACCCTTTCGTTTACATCATGAAGAATATCTATATCAATAAATCAGAATATCTGTTTGTTCGTCAAAGATTGGAAGGCAGATGCTTGAGGTCCGCCTCATGCAACACTGCACTGTGGTTAATGACCTTACAGCGAGTCTCAGAGGGAGGTCAGGGTCAGCCCTTATGCCACCTATGAAGGGAAATTATCCTTCACACTCACTTCACGAGATCAATGGAAATGAAATGTTTTATGAATAGTCCATAGAGTTTGTGTCAATTTATATATTAATGTACTAGCTGTACCCGGCCACGCGTTGCTGAGCCACAGCAACCTTTCCCTGTCTCCCAGTCCTCCCCCACCACCCCCCCCCCCTTCTCCGTCCCCTCGTCCTTCCCACCATTCCCCACTCCCCATCTGATGATCAAATGTTCTGATGTTCACATCAGAAAATTGGGAACATCAAATACTCTGGGGCTAGATTCATGAAGAAGTTACACAAACACTTACGAACCTGTACATCTTTTTTCAGTCTTTGGCGGATTTGCTTACAATTATTATACAATTAATGAGCTCCGAAGCACCAGGTGGCTGATTGTAACAATAAAAACAGTTAATTGGCAAGTTTTCATGCTTGTAAACTGTTTAATACATGTAACAAACGCCATAAAAAATTGAGGAAAGATGTACACGTTCGTGAGTACTTGTGTAACTGCTTCGTGAATCTGGCCCCAGATATTCCCATCACTGAAATATAAGAAAAACAGTTCAAAAAACGAAATGAAAAAATTAAAAAATACAAAAATAAACCATTCTCACAAAATGAACGGTATGGTAAAGAACAAAGCTCAATTCCAATGCAATGTCACACAAAATAGTTAAATCATAATGAAAATAAATCGAAATGTATGAAGATTCAATTTATCAATGAAATTGGAAACATTGAAATGGAATTCGTAACATATTAAGTATAGCGTGTGTGTTGCTATTATGTGCAACAGATGGCGCTGTTTTTAAAAAAACTAAGTTTTTACCTGTCACAGGAGTGACATCTATATAGTAGGTATACAAAAAAAAAGCACATATTCGAATGGAACGGTGAGTCGAATCAGTGCAATGAGTGAAGAACTTTGGGATATTACAGCGTGTGTAGCTCTTACGTCCAAAAGATGGCACTGTTTTTGTTGTTTAAATGTTTAAAAAAACATGTTTTCTCCTGTCACAGGTGAAGGATCAATATAGTAGGTATATAAAAACACGTGCCTATTCGAATGCATCGCCGTGTCAAAATTTCAAATCAATCGGTAAAGAGGTTTCGAAGATTTCTCTCACATGAAAAACACAGTTAAAAAAAAAGACATTTCCGTCAAAGAGGTGACATCAATATAGTATGTATACAAAAACCCGCTCGGATGCGAATGGAACAGTGTGTAAAAATTTCAAGCCAATCGTTGAAGAACTTTCGGAGATTAGCGATTTTGAACAAACGAACATTTCCATTTTTATTTATATAAATTTATACATTGAAATTCAAAACGAATAATTAGCTAACAGATTTGTGTTCTGGGCAAAACTTTTCGATTATAGAGATGTAGATAGTGTATAGTGAAAATGGTTACAGTGATATGGGGTTATGAGGAGAGTTTTTGTGGAGGGAGACAGGGAGCGTGTGTGTGGAGATGTGTATCATATGAAGATATTCACTGTGATGATGATGTTTTCTGATGATGTTTGCCAGTATGTTGTGAAAATAGTTACAGCGATGAAGGGCGACAGGGGGAAAATGTGTTCAATAATAAAGAGGGTGAGTGTGAGTGGAGAATAAGACCGTGTGTGTGGTTGGAGACTGGAAGGGCATATATGGGGGAGACTGGAAGGTTATATGGTGGAGATGTGGAGGATATATGTGGGGGGGAGGGGGGGGAGGTGGAGACAAGGAAAGTGAATGTGGGAGTATGTGTTTCTTTTAGTATGCATGGGAAACTCCTATGTTTCATCAAATCCTTGAGACTAGTCAATTAAGTCTTCTTTTGCTACCTCTCTTGCACTCAGTTTTTTCGATGGACCCTCCCTCCCATTTGCGTATGTAGAAGTGTGAGCTCACCACTCTTGTAGAACTGGAAGGAACTGTGGGATGCATCGATGGCCACAGAGATGGGGCCTATGGTCCCAGCAGCCGTCTTCAGAGCGCTCTCGCTTTTAGAAGTTACTGAGACGTAGCCAGTTAATGTGGCAGCGATGTTCTTGACTGAGAATTTGCAAGTCCCTTGCTGCATAAAATAAGAAACAAAATTATTATATCCTGTCCTACAAAGTATATACGTAAATAATGTTAAACGTATGACAAAAAGAGTTCTATTAATTATAAACAAGAAATTGTCAGTTTCCTGCTATGATGGCGCTGCCTTGATGAGGGCCTCTTACCACTGCCACGTAGGGGTAGGAGGCCCCACTGTCAGCTCCAGTGGCCTTGATGTAGTTGAAGGCACTAGTCATTAGTCCACCGCGACACCCCAGGTTTTTATAAGTGCCACCGGAGCATTCGACCAGCTGCTGCTCCGAGAGACTCACCAGTTTGCCAGTCTTACGGAAGTGTTGACCCTCCAAGGCACCGGTCTGTATGAAAGGCAGGGAAGCAAATAACAAAATATTAATGTTACATCAAGAAGTGTTTATAAGTGGCATCTGGCAGTGTTGCTCTCTATCTCGCATCTTCCAGCGGAAACTTTAGTTATCCCACTCAGTTTCCCAGAGATAAGAATCCAGAAGCATTTACCCTCACTTAGTCCTCACTCTCACTATCACTGCGGCTGTCTTTTCCATTACCTTTCAGCATGTTTCGATGAATTTGTCGTATATGTTGTAAATAAGGATGTTGAGCCTAACAGAAGTTAAATCATAAAACTAAAAAACACAGAATTTTCTTCGGAATGGATATATAAATTTGGTCAGTGTAATAAAAAAGCAATTTGTCTTTCGCATTGACGGTTAATGTAAAAGATTATCAAATAAATCGTCGTGGAAAAGGCAGTCCGCTTATATGTGAGACGAAATACTTCTTGAAGGAGTAAACTTACAAAGGAGTAAGGTCACTGCCTCTTTACGCTGACTCCTTGTTCCCAGAACATCACTCCCACCACCTGCCGACCCTCTGGGCCCCAGACATAATACTTACGGCAGAAAATGCCCAACATGAGCCACATTGTAACTGGTTCTTGACGGGAGTGACGGCGCCCTTGGTGCGCCAGTCCATAGTGGCTGGCGGGGTGGCCGTGGTGGCGGCGGTGAGGAGCACTGTGACGTCCGCCGGAGACTCGCCCAGGAACCCGTTCATCACAGCTCCGAACTCTTCACTTGTCTGCCATATAACAACTTTGTTTAGACTTGTGATCAGCAAATATGTTTATATTTTATTATTTATCTTTTTCAATTATGATGTTTGCAAATCTTATAAAGCGAACATAACAAAGTTTGTTACGTTCGTTTTAGAACTCAGGTCAAGAACTGAGAAGCGGTTTAGTTATTTTTCGTATTTATCTTATATTTTTTTATATTTATATGTAAAAGAGTTTTAACATTCTTGTAAAGCAACTAGCAAGTATAGCGTCTAGGGCAGACCATTAATCCTAATTTTCCCTGGAATACGACCCGTCAAATCGTTTTGCAACCAGGTACAAATTTACTGCTGGGTGAAGAGAGGCGTACAGTTAAGGATTGGCGCCTAGTCAATCCTCCCCGACCAGGATATGAACCCAGGCCAAATCGCTAGCGAAGCACGAGACGAGTTCGCTACCACTGGTAACACACTTGGTGCACATGCGTGAAAGTAGTGAAAGATCAGAGCACCTGGGTGAAGGATCAGAGCACCTGGGTGAAGGATCAGAGCACCTGGGTGAAGGATCAGAGCACCTGGGTGAAGGTAGTGAAGGATCAGAGCACCTGGGTGAAGGTAGTGAAGGATCAGAGCACCTGGGTGAAGGATCAGAGCACCTGGGTGAAGGTAGTGAAGGATCAGAGCACCTGGGTGAAGGTAGTGAAGGATCAGAGCACCTGGGTGAAGGATCAGAGCACCTGGGTGAGGGTAGTGAAGGATCAGAGCACCTGGCGGAAGGATCAGAGCACCTGGGTGAAGGATCAGAGCACCTGGGTGAGGGTAGCGAAGGATCAGAGCACCTGGGTGAAGGATCAGAGCACCTGGGTGAGGGTAGCGAAGGATCAGAGCACCTGGGTGAAGGATCAGAGCACCTGGGTGAAGGTAGTGAAGGATCAGAGCACCTGGGTGAGGGTAGTGAAGGATCAGAGCACCTGGGTGAAGGATCAGAGCACCTGGGTGAAGGATCAGAGCACCTGGGTGAAGGTAGTGAAGGATCAGAGCACCGGGGTGAAGGATCAGAGCACCTGGGTGAGGGTAGTGAAGGATCAGAGCACCTGGGTGAAGGATCAGAGCACCTGGGTGAAGGTAGTGAAGGATCAGAGCACCTGGGTGTAGGATCAGAGCACCTGGGTGAAGGATCAGAGCACCTGGGTGAAGGATCAGAGCACCTGGGTGAGGGTAGTGAAGGATCAGAGCACCTGGGTGAAGGATCAGAGCACCTGGGTGAAGGATCAGAGCACCTGGGTGAGGGTAGTGAAGGATCAGAGCACCTGGGTGAAGGATCAGAGCACCTGGGTGAGGGTAGTGAAGGATCAGAGCACCTGGGTGAAGGATCAGAGCACCTGGGTGAAGGATCAGAGCACCTGGGTGAAGGATCAGAGCACCTGGGTGAAGGATCAGAGCACCTGGGTGAGGGTAGTGAAGGATCAGAGCACCTGGGTGAAGGATCAGAGCACCTGGGTGAAGGATCAGAGCACCTGGGTGAGGGTAGTGAAGGATCAGAGCACCTGGGTGAAGGATCAGAGCACCTAGGTGAAGGATCAGAGCACCTGGGTGAAGGTAGTGAAGGATCAGAGCACCTGGGTGAAGGATCAGAGCACCTGGGTGAAGGATCAGAGCACCTGGGTGAAGGATCAGAGCACTGGGTGAAGGATCAGAGCACCTGGGTGAAGGATCAGAGCACCTGGGTGAAGGTAGTGAAGGATCAGAGCACCTGGGTAAAGGATCAGAGCACCTGGGTGAAGGTAGTGAAGGATCAGAGCACCTGGGTGAAGGATCAGAGCACCTGGGTGAAGGATCAGAGCACCTGGGTGAAGGTAGTGAAGGATCAGAGCACCTGGGTGAAGGTAGTGAAGGATCAGAGCACCTGGGTGAAGGATCATAGCACCTAGGTGAAGGATCAGAGCACCTGGGTGAAGGATCAGAGCACCTGGGTGAAGGATCAGAGCACCTGGGTGAAGGATCAGAGCACCTGGGTGAAGGATCAGAGCACCTGGGTGAAGGATCAGAGCACCTGGGTGAGGGTAGTGAAGGATCAGAGCACCTGGGTGAGGGTAGTGAAGGATCAGAGCACCTGGGTGAAGGATCAGAGCACCTGGGTGAAGGTAGTGAAGGATCAGAGCACCTGGGTGAAGGATCAGAGCACCTGGGTGAAGGATCAGAGCACCTGAGTGAAGGATCAGAGCACCTGGGTGAAGGTAGTGAAGGATCAGAGCACCTGGGTGAAGGTAGTGAAGGATCAGAGCACCTGGGTGAAGGATCAGAGCACCTGGGTGAAGGATCAGAGCACCTGGGTGAAGGATCAGAGCACCTGGGTGAAGGTAGTGAAGGATCAGAGCACCTGGGTGAAGGATCAGAGCACCTGGGTGAAGGATCAGAGCACCTGGGTGAAGGATCAGAGCACCTGGGTGAAGGATCAGAGCACCTGGGTGAAGGATCAGAGCACCTGGGTGAAGGATCAGAGCACCTGGGTGAAGGATCAGAGCACCTGGGTGAGGCTAGTGAAGGATCAGAGCACCTGGGTGAAGGTAGTGAAGGATCAGAGCACCTGGGTGAAGGATCAGAGCACCTGGGTGAAGGTAGTGAAGGATCAGAGCACCTGGGTGAGGGTAGTGAAGGATCAGAGCACCTGGGTGAAGGATCAGAGCAACTGGGTGAAGGTAGTGAAGGATCAGAGCACCTGGGTGAAGGTAGTGAAGGATCAGAGCACCTGGGTGAAGGATCAGAGCACCTGGGTGAAGGTAGTGAAGGATCAGAGCACCTGGGTGAAGGATCAGAGCACCTGGGTGAAGGTAGTGAAGGATCAGAGCACCTGGGTGAAGGTAGTGAAGGATCAGAGCACCTGGGTGAAGGATCAGAACACCTGGGTGAGGTAGTGAAGGATCAGAGCACAGAAGGATGTTATGAAGGATCGGTGCACAGTTAAGGAAAGAAGTAAAATAAATTAATTATCAGAGAGCCATAATACCAACCTTCCTTTCACCACAGTCCTGGTTATCTTGTCAGACGAGTGTGATAACCCTTCACCACAGTCCAGGTTATCTTGTCAGACGAGTGTGATAACCCTACACCACAGTCCAGGTTATCTTGTCAGACGAGTGTGATAACCCTACACCACAGTCCAGGTTATCTTGTCAGACGAGTGTGTTAACCCTACACCACAGTCCAGGTCATCTTGTCAGACGAGTGAGATAACCCTTCACCACAGTCCAGGTCATCTTGTCAGACGAGTGTGATAACCTTACACCACAGTCCAGGTCATCTTGTCAGACGAGTGTGATAACCCTACACCACAGTCCAGTGATAACCCTACACCACAGTCCAGGTTATCTTGTCAGACGAGTGTGATAACCCTACACCACAGTCCAGGTTATCTTGTCAGACGAGTGTGATAACCCTACACCACAGTCCAGGTTATCTTGTCAGACGAGTGTGATAACCCTACACCACAGTCCAGGTTATCTTGTCAGACGAGTGTGTTAACCTTACACCACAGTCCAGGTTATCTTGTCAGACGAGTGTGATAACCCTACACCACAGTCCAGGTCATCTTGTCAGACGAGTGTGATAACCCTACACCACATGTTTGGAAAATCACATAAGTGTGAAATTTCCCAAAAAAAATCATGAAATGCAATAATATTACACTGTGTGTTGCACTGAATAACTTTCCCGTTCCAGTACTTAACTCCAAATCAAAATTGGTACATAATAATGACATCACAGAGACTGACCATGTCACCAAACTCGTTCATCGCCAGCTCGAAGGTTGCGTTCTTCTTCCTATGATCTTTGATGATCTGGAGATTATACTCGAACACCTTCTTGCGACGCGCTTCTTCTGTTGAGTTCTTATACTTCCGCTTATAATTACCCTGAGGAAATACACAAACACTTATGATAAAGCTGCATTCTTAGTACTTAACACACTGCATTATTTCTCAGTTTACATAGGTACATGCTCAAGATATTTCTGATTCCACTAAGAAACAAATTCCCGCCTGTTTAATGGTTATGCTGGTATACCACAGGTCTTAAAGAGATTTTACTGTTCTTTAATGGAGTCACAATAATCAGAGAATCCAGTTGTGATATTATATGTTTATTATTTTTACCATAGGAAAATAACTTTATCATCACCTTATTTAATGTAAATTTATGAGAGTTGGTTGAAAACAATTATGAGAAACTCATCTCTATTTTACTGTTAATAAGTCCTCAATGAAGAGGATATACCCTATAGTCTAATAAGGGGTACAAGTGTTGTGTTGGCTGACTCTTCAGAGGTTGCATGCCGATTTGCCTTTTTTTATGATATCTTCAACAAAACTGTTAGAGAAGCCGTTGTTGACTAGAACCTGCCTAACCCTACAGAGTTCTTCATCGACTTCTCTAATGCTTTAGTTAAAGGTATCATAAAAAGAAAGTTGAAACGCCATGCAACCTCTGAAGAGTCAACCAACACAACACTTGTACCCCCCTATTAGACTATTTTACAGGAACTTTTTTTCGACGGCTCAAAAACGGAGGAAAAGGTCCTGAAAGATATTGTTGATAGAAACGTTATCCCTACAGACCAAAATCAGAAAATACAATTGACAATTTACTATAAAACCAAAAAAAGGCTACCTTACTCATGAAAAACTCTCCAGACACAGGGCAGAACGCTTTGAAGGAAACCAACGTCGTCGATGCCTTCAAATGCCCACTTGGGGACTGTAAGCCCCAAAGAACTCAGTGTATATAGGCAAAACAACAACGTCTCTTTCCAGGCGATTAACAATGCATAAGCAACAGGGCTCCTTCAAGGAACATATAATCTCTTCCCACAACCAGACCATCACCAGAGAAATCTTAACAAACAACACAGAAATCATCGATAAATACAGCGATAGCAGGAGACTCGACATCAGCTCGACACATCAAGAAGTCAACACCAGCAATCAACAGCCAATTAATGCACAACTATATTCTACCCACTTCACGATCCCGAACCAATATAGAATCATCAAGAGGAGGTATGGGCCAATAGGCCTTCTGCAGTTACTTCCATTCTTATGTTTTCATACCCAATTTATACCCATTGTTTCGTGATTTGTCTTGTGTTTGTCACCTCACTCAAAACTTTTGTGCCATATCACCTCACCCAAAACTAGTATAAGTACGAAAAAATTTTTATGTTTTACTCAGTCAGAGTCAGTCGCTGAGTGTAGCAGTACACAGTTACAGTCACTCCCTCAGTTACTCTTTTAGTACAGTGTAATCATGTCTCCCCAGGATATGACTTTCCTAACCATCCTTCTTGAATTACTAACGTCAGAAGGACACAGTGATCTAGTAGCTAGAGCAAGGAAAAAACTTGAAGGCGACCCAACCCTAAACGAAGCACCATGGCAACTTGTAGGCAACGGAAAGGCAAACAAACGAAGAAGAACCGAAGAAACATCCAAAGAAACCAAACTAGAAGCACACCAGAACTCAAGAGCAGCACCCAAACCAATGCCAAGGATCATATTCAAAACCAAAAAGCCAGTTGATGGTCCCACTTATGCTTTCATTGCCGCACTGGAAAAGAATAATCCAGGATCAGATCTTAGAGCCAAGCCCGACATTAGAGGTAGATATAACATATCCACAGCTAATCCGGATATAATCACAAACCTCAGGAACACAGAACACCTAGTGGAACTGAAACCAGAAGAAAAAAATCACCAAAATAATAGTTCAAAATTTACCGGTCGAAGTTCATGCAAACAGACTCCTAGAATGTCCAAATGTCACAGCGGCGGAAAGATGCAAGCACAACAATATTGAAACAAGACAGGTTCTTGTAACAATAAAAGGACCTCGCATCAACACTCTGAGTGTTGGCATCTATGGTCAATTCAGGCTGAGACTATACAACCCAGAACCCATGCGCTGTTACAGATGTCAGCGCTTCGGCCACCACAAAGATGGCTGCAGAGGCCCGGAACGATGTAGTGTATGTAGCGAGCTCCATAATACCGACATATGCAAGAATCTGCACAAAGAAGGCAAACAAACGAAAGCAAAATGCCCGAACTGCGGGGATACACATCACGCCTGGAACAAACGATGTCCAGAAAGGGTAAAAAGAATACTAGCTTTCGGATCAACCCAGCAACCCAAAGTCACAACTTCCAGACCCCAATCGACCAGACCCTCGGTAAAAAGCCAGTGGTACACCCCTCAGCAAGTCCGAATAAATGAAGATCAGCAACAGTCTGACGCACCAAATCCTTCTAGTCTGAGCAAGGACAGGGCTTCTAACAACTGGAGGAAACAAAGAAGCACTACTCCACTAGGAAACAGCAACAGAATAGATCAAGGTAGCAAAACGAACATACCTGCCGTTGCCATCAACACCTCCCAAGTAGAAATGATGATCGCTACATCATCAAATGCCTCAGTAGCTGGATGTAGCAAAGACACTTCAACCCAACCAAGAGTTTCCTCACCCACCAAGAAGAAAGTCTCCACTCCAGCCAAGAAGACACAAACGGTCGGGAAAACCAGTACTATAAAAACCATGGACTCAATGATTCCACTATAACGGAAAAATGGACAATCTCAAAATTATACAATGGAATATTGAAGGATTCAAAAGCAAAGCACAAACACTCAGAGCAGTGCTTCTCAAGGATAGCATTGATATTGTTCTACTTCAAGAAACACTCACCAGGACTGGCAGATATATCAATATCCCAGGATATCAAGGATTCCACTGCCCTATGGCACAAGGTGGCACCAGAGACATTTTAATTCTAGTAAGATATCATATCAATGCCACGGCAGTCACAGACCTGCCCAACTGTGGCGAGAACGTCGAAATTATGGGAGTTAATCTCACTCTGAGGAACTCAATGCTGTCCATCTTCAATGTATACAAGAGCCAGAGAGAACACGACATGGATCTCTCAACAATCTTTGAAATAGCAGTCACTACACCTACTATCATCTCTGACGACTTCAACGCTCATAGTGAATTACTTCTTGATTCACCAAGAACCGACGCCAACGGAAGACATATTGAACACCTTTTGGATGAAGTGCCGGAAATCAGTCTACTTAATTCGGCGGAACCAACCCACACTGGTGGGGGAAAGTTGGATCTCACGTTTGTTTCCACCAGTATTTATGAGTTGTGTCATTGGTCAGTGGATCATGTTCTGACTAGTGACCACTTTGCTACAAAAACAGTTATTAATATAGCACTCCCTCCTAGACCTCCAGTTCCCGAGCCCGGATGGGACTTTATCAAGGCAGATTGGACGAAGTTTCAGGAAGCTCTCGAAACTTGGCACCAAAACTACACTCCTCCTGACAACACCGAAGAAATGGAAAAAGATTTAGTAAATGCAATACATAGAGCAGCAAATCACGCCATCCCCAAGAGGAAAACAATTACCCAACAACACAAGTACCGTTAGTATTACTGTGATAGGATCAAAGAGCTACATAACAGACTAAATCGTGCACGAAAGAATTTCAGAAGACATAGAACCGAAGCTAATCTAGGACTTCTTAGAGCTGTCCGAGGTCATGTGCACGAAGAAACAGCAAAAATCAGAGAAGAAAAATGGCTCGAGTGGTGTGCCAAGCTAAATCAGCTTGGCACTTGAAATAGGAGTTCTCCAAAACTCATTTTCGTACTTATAAGGTGAAGAAAAGAAGTGATTTACTATAGAGTGTAATACACTTATTTGTATAATTTGCACGACGTTTCGAACCTCCATGGTTCATTCTCAAGTGAACAGATCTTACAATACTAGTTGATTTTATACCCGCATTAGGTCAGGTGATAATACAATGAAGGTGAAAACATGGGGGGATACATAAGGGATAAACATAGGGAAAAATGAGTTTTGGAGAACTCCTATTTCAATTAAGCCCTGATGCTAAGAAAATAGTTAGAGGGATAGAAGCCCTAAACCAGAAAATAATAAATACAGAATATGCGGTCATATTCAATGAAATATATATATATATATATATATATATATATATATATATATATATATATATATATATATATATATATTAGTATATTTTGGTAGCAGTCTTTCCTGTAGACATATATTATTAAATATGACCGAAAAAGTAAGATTAATAATTCTAACACGAATTTTCTCAATCTTTCGTACATTTCTTTTCACTGTTGGAGGTAAATCAAAAATCAATTCCTCAAAATTCATTTTTATTTCTAGTCTGACGCGACACGAGCGCGTTTCGTAAAACTTATTACATTTTCAAAGACTTTAGTTTACAAATACACAGCTGAATAGAACTTACGCATCTCCGATTTTATATCTACATTTTAGTGAGGTGGATGGGGTGAGGTGGCATTAATAGGGTATTAATTTCTTCAACACAAGACAGAACAAGAGGTGGCATTAACAGGGTATTAATTTCATCAACACAAGACAGAACACGAAACAATGGGTATTGAATAGAAGTGTTTGTAGAAAGCCTATTGGTCGATATTTCTTGATGCTTCTATATTGGAGCGGAGTCTTGAGGTGGGTAGAATATAGTTGTGCATTAATTGGCTGTTGATTGCTGGTGTTGACTTCTTGATGTGTAGTGCCTCGCAAACGTCAAGCCGCCTGCTATCGCTGTATCTATCGATGATTTCTGTGTTGTTTACTAGGATTTCTCTGGCGATGGTTTGGTTGTGGGAAGAGATTATATGTTCCTTAATGGAGCCCTGTTGCTTATGCATCGTTAAACGCCTAGAAAGAGATGTTGTTGTCTTGCCTATATACTGGGTTTTTTGGAGCTTACAGTCCCCAAGAGGGCATTTGAAGGCATAGACGACGTTAGTCTCTTTTAAAGCATTCTGTTTTGTGTCTGGAGAGTTTCTCATGAGTAGG